GACAATACTGGAAAACTTGGATATTAAGCACCACGCTTACTTCTTCGCTATCACCGATACCATCCGAATGGTTTCAGATCCACAGGATACCTGTACCTACAGCTCTAGGTAATGATCTAAAGCATGTAAGGATTGAATTTAGAGCGCCGAAGTGTTGTTGTATCGGACCGCGCATTTTGGTGGGTTTTGATAACACGGCGTCTGGAACGAAAAAGTGGCGCTCTAAAATGATTTTTTGACGTACGAATCGATCAATTTAGTTTTTTTTAATACAAGTAATCTATATTTTTTAATAATAATATTTAGCAAAGATTCGCTACTTAGATCAGCTTCTGAAAGGGTCACATATTGGAAAGTCTGGTGTGTCGTCAGATTCGAAATATTTCGTTCGAATCCCGTTCAATTTCAGGAATGTGAACCGCACCAAATGATCAACGTGCTATACTTGACCAAAAAATATTCCACGGGTTGTATCAGCTAGGAGAGGTTAATCTGTAGCCACAATAGGACAGATGTGGGGCTTATCGACAACGACACATTTATACATGTATGTAAATGTACTGTGCCTAATCATACAGTCCATATGTGGAGCGCATGGGAAGAATTCGAGCCAGATTTCGCTTGTTAAGCGTTTGGAAACTAGCTTTTCAACATGCGTAATCAAACAACTCGAGAATACTGGTATAGATGTGTTTCAAATTGAAACTTTCAATGCAGTTAATCTATAATATGAGTTTATATTTTATAGTAGTATTTTGATATTCTTTTCTGTGCTGTACCTGGTACTTACAGGTTAGTACTAGGTACAGTACAGCTACCAGAGAGCAGCACCATTGATAACCCGGCACATTGTCAATGGTGCTGCACACGTCGTGCTTACCGATCTGACGTTCCCTACTGTCAAATGTTTTGGCTTGAAACAAAGAGTGTACAGTACCGTATTTGATTACGATACCTCTTGCATATTCTGCGCGCTGTACCGCCACTCACTCTTTCTTTTCCCCAGACTTAACTTGGTTACCAAGAACATCGTGCATGTAAAATGCTAATAGCGCTACTCATTGTACTCATTGCGTTGACAGCCCCTTCATCTGCAATTTCGTTCTCAACTTTGTTCGGCAACAGTCAATCCTCAACTTCCCAAGCCAGCGATGTGGATCTCTCTAACGGCACCGATATTAAAGTACGACAGCCTCTCCTCAAAGCCACAGACTGGTTCCTCACCGAACAAGAGATCACCGACTCGCGGGGCGGCATACCACGCACTGACTTGGCAGTTTATACGACGGGCAACGCGGTGACATCTTTCACAGTAACGAAAGAATTCTACGACTCTGTCTACGACGACCTAAGTACGACGGAGGAAGGTGATCGGGTCATGCTTTCGGCTTTTGTGACCGCCCTCGTTCCATTAAAGCCAGACGTCGATGTTACTGGAGCCAGGACAGGGGTTGGTAAGGTATTTACGGATATGGTAAAGCGAGGAACTAACGCAAACATTCTCAACTGGTCGAATATTGGCTACAAGATCTTCGCTACCAAGGCACGCGATCTCATTAACAACATCCCGCCGTCTCCGATCAACGGGGCCAAAGCAGTTTTCCTATTTGATGATCGCGTCCGCAATGTTGCGTCAGCCTACCACCAGAAAACTCTGGTACTTACAGCAAACAGCTCTTCAGACATCGACTACCAGCCTGTGGCCTATGTAGGAGGGTTAGACCTTGCCAAGGAACGTTGGGATACCATTTACCACAACAATTCTGCACTTCGCGATGCCAGCGGCATCACCTTCAAGCGCAAAGGCTGGATTGACGGCCATATCCGGATCCACGGACCTGCAGCGAAGGATGTGGCCAACAACTTTGTAGCTCGATGGAACTCTGACTACTTACCCAGTCAAGGCCTGGTAGACGACCTTCTCGGTTTCGAGAACCCACCATATGAACATATCCCGCAGCTGAATTATGCCAGTAGCAATGCCACCGGCAACCTCGGGAAACAGAGTATTCAGATCACTAGAACATTCAGCTGCAAATACAAGCACTACAAGGAATTTGCTCCACGAGGAGAGAATTCGCTCTTTCACGCACGTATCAAGGCGATCAAGAATGCGAAGAACTTCATCTACATTGAAGATCAGTATTTTATTTATGTGCCGGAGCTTCTGGACGCGATCATGGAGGTGATGCCGAAGATTCAACACTTGGTTGTCATTGCTAATCCAGAAACAAATCCGTTCACAAAGGGAGGATACATCAAGTATCTGTACGAGATGGTCTCACCGATCCGAGAGAAATACCCGAACAAGTTCAAGATCTACACAGTAAAGGCTGACCTCGATCTGATCGTTCATACTAAAGTTGTGATCGTCGACGACGTGTATATGTCCGTTGGCTCGGCTAACTGGAATCGTCGAAGTATGACGTCGGACCCAGAGCTCAATGCGGAGGTTGTGGATGATGAGACTGTGGAATCTCCGGAAGGCGTCACTGTAGGCAAACTACCTCGTGACTTTCGCATCCGCAAGTTCGTGGAAATGACAGGGTTGAGCTACGAGGAACTTGATGCCATGACTTTCATTGAAGCGGCGAACCAGTTGGCGCTAGCGGCGGCTGACGAGTCGACAATACTGGAAAACTTGGATATTAAGCACCACGCTTACTTCTTCGCTATCACCGATACCATCCGAATGGTTTCAGATCCACAGGATACCTGTATCTATAGCTCTAAATAATCATTACCATAGGATGGTACAATAAACGCTGAAAGCAACATCACATTACCGATTTTTTAATTGGTGGTCTCAACTTCTGTGAGATTTTTAGTTTTCACTGGACTGTTCGGTGACAATCAGAAAAGCTCGTCAGCATCTCAATGAAGTGTAACGCTGATCAGTCTTCGTGTTAGCGTTGTTCAATGGTTCTTACTTGACCAGGGTCGCATTTCCCCCAGCAGAATACTAACACAATACTTTGCAAATTAGCTACTAGTAGTAACAAGTAAAACAAATATGGTGGCAGATGATACAAGTACATTCGGGACTGATACAACGATGACAAGGCGCTAGGATTCAAGCACTGCTTACCAGTTCAAATGGCTTCTAGACAGTAGCTTAGACTGTATCTGTGATGCCTGATCACTCGTGAAAAATCTCGTTGTTCATCTTGGATACTCGCGGTGGAGACGGAACTGACTACAATACTAACGCAGGAAACTCTCGAGTAGTTAAATCGATGTTGGTCCGTTAAAGGTCTCTGCTTCTTGTATCATCGCAGTCCAACCGCGCTTCACATTGGGTCCAAGATCGGAGGAACGGGAGAGCTTCGTCATGGGTGGCGTTGGCGGAATAGTCGAAACCTTACTATCCTCATCTGACGCATCGCTATCGGTAATTCTGGCTGCATCTCCGTCATCATCAGAGTCTTCGAATGAAAAACTGCTACAGTTGGAAAATGGACTGCGGCTGTAAGACTTTCGCTTCATCCAGTACTCGTAGGGTTCATCGCTACTGCTGTCGTCGAGAACATGATAGTCTGAGTCGGAAGAGTCTGAATCCATGAAGTCTGTGAAGTCGCCTGCGCTTCTTGTCGGATGCTCCTCGTTCACAACTGTAATCTCAATTTCTCCAATCGTACGTTCGGGTTCTTCTTCTTGTTCGTGCTGAAACACGGTGTTGTCGTTCTCCTCTTGCCAGTTCCAGTCCTCCTCGTCGTCAGGGATCACTTGTGTTGGCGCACTATTACACACACGCTGACGGACTGGACTATTAGCAGGTTGACGGGGTAAGAGGCTGATCGATCTGAAGCCACGGCGACGCATAGCTCGGCTTCGATTCTCTTAGCCAGAGGGATGTTAGCGCAACAAGAAAGTCCGAAAAATACTTGATGAATCTTTTTTCTTATTTGCCAAATGATGAAGTCTTGCTTTCTTCCGTCTTGAACCATAATGAAAAAGGTACGATCTCATCAACGTAGGAAACCTTGTAATCCTTCGTCTGTGGCGCGTGTTGGCCTGAGAAACCAGACCCAAAGCCACTTTCAAACACTAAGGTGTGGTAACTTTAGGTATCCTTCGAGCGAGTTAATGTGCACACAAAGGTCGCCAATAGACACAGGTGGCGGACTGATTCGCCTTTGCCACACCTGCGAATCGTAGCGCTTTAGTGCTGCTGCATCAGGGGGCTCAACTGATCCCAATCCTATATCACCAAAGAGGCGTAGGTCCTGCGCAATCTGCAGCCAAGTGATCATTGCGGTATCGAAGAACACAGCGTGCGTTTCCTCTTCTTCACGATCACTTCGTCTCCCGTTTGACTTGTAAAGTGGAAACCACTGCTGAAAAATTGTCGTGAGTGCTTGAGATTTGCGCTCAACATTCCACTCCTTCGTCAGCTTTTGTCGTGCCTGGTGAAGATCTCCGTCACATCCAGCTAATAGAGACATTGCTAGATGAATACCATCCCTTGACACAGCCACTCGAAAGCGTTCCGCAACAGCCATCGCCACTCGTACAAGACCGCCAAAAGCTGGATCTGAAGTCCGCACATCGTACAGCACTCGAACTAGTGCAGCGACTTCTTGACCTTCGAACATCCACAATGGCCAGATACGGCGCAGAGATCGCACTAAACGATGAACTTTTGCTTCTTCACGATAACTCGACCCAAAGACCTCGTGAACATCGTCTACCGTTGCAAGCAATAGCTGAAGTGAGCAATTGTCCCCTGTAACATCTCGTGGGAGATCACCTTTAAAGTTGGGGGTGTTTATTGGTAGTGGTGGTAGTGGCACTTGATTGGTAGCTGCAGTATTACGGACAGTAGGTGGAATGCTCATTGTGCTTGCTGCGGTGTCGGGCCTGACCATTGTCTTTTGTGGATTGTTATAGTCGGTGAGCAGTATAAAGTCTAGGACATCTGAATGTCCGAGTCTCACAGCAATGTGGAGGAGTGTGTCTCCTAGAGCCAATCTGCCCTGCTCCACTGCCGAGAAAAACTCCATCTTCTCGTCCTGCAGCTCATTGAGTCGCTCTTCCCGCTCTAATGAATCCGTCAACGTCTCCAATTGTGTCTGTTCCTGCATGATGATATCCAAGTACGTAGCTCGAGAGATCTGCAGCCCGCGCAGCTCAGGCCGGAAAGCGGATAGAAGTGCATTCACGCCTCCGCGGTATGTAGCTAGCACCTGCCAGTTAGAGAATACCGACAGAGCATTGTCAGTAGTGCAGTAAATGGCAATCATATTGAAGAGACCACACAACCATCTGACGGAACTGCGCTGCGTCGTCCAGTGGAGCGCTATGCGCCTGACCCATGCTGGCATCCGAAGAGACAGATGGCTACATATTGTGGCGACCAGAAAACGTATTGCGCCAGTTTATTAAGAGAGATTCGACTTTAATTTATTATATCAGCGTTAATTTTTAATGCATGACGACGTTTTTTTAGCACTAAAGAAAAGGCACCGATGACTACATGTATTTTGAAAACCAATAGAAACAATTGTAAGCAAAACAAAAACGAAGCCCGTGAAATAAAAAAAAACACCTTGGATTGAGGAGGGCACCAGTTTAGAGTTGGTATTCGTTCATGAGCAGAAATTCTAGCCAAATTATTTAGCAGAAAACGAAAATATTGCAACTCTTCTATTGGCTGGATGCTAACTTATAACTTACTCTTAACCGTAAGGGATATGGACGAATATACACGCCTTTCCGACAAAAGGCTGACTGGTAGTTATGTTATGTGAATTATTACCCAATGATATACCTGGATGTATCTGTTTTGACCAATTATATTTATTAGGAGGGATTTTTTAGCTTTCGACACATTCCAACAAATTTTTGTCGGAACCAGCGACGAAATGTGTATATGCCTTTACAATAGTCAGCTCGAAACACTATTCGCCTTATACTGATGCCGTTCAAGTATCTAGACTAGATCCTAGACTAGGAAGTCAGTTTACGTGACACTAATAAATCCCCACACTTTTCAAACAACTAAGAAAGGCAGAGCGATATGATGAGACTAGCCGCTTTCGTCCCTACTAACACGCAGAAGGCGCGCACCATCATGATTGCCGCATTAAAGCTGATGCTGGAGGAGGATAGTGTTAACATGGACTTTGTCCACGCTAGCATCCACCTCGACACCTTCGGCAAACGGTCAGCTGCGACGATGGATCGCTTCGGCTTCTATCTCTCCACAAACGGCGGTAAGAAAGGTAAGCTTGCACGTAATACGGCGACTTCATACCATAGAAATGTGAAGCTGTGGCTATTTGATAAATATACGCGCTTACGTGTGTCTTGATACTACTCGAGCAAGGCAAGACGCTAGACAAACATTGCATGAAAAGAGAAAAAGGTGGCTTGGTTAATAATTCTTCTCCTTGTACTAAGGAGGATTTACAGTCTCTAATCCGTTATGTATACAGCACGGCACTTGTGCGTGATGACTACCAAAGCCCTGCGCTAGCGTGCCTGATGTGGCACTGCTTTGGCCGATCTTCCGACTTGGATTACATTCAACAGCAGCACGTGTCAGTATCTGCGGATGGTACCTTTACCTTCGAAACCTGCGTGTCAAAACCTCCGAAGAGCAGGGACTCACCTTGATTCCAGACAAGAACGATTTCTTGACGTGTCCCTTGCACGCTCTTGTTGTGGCGTTGGTAACGCACGATGCCCCATGCGTGGCACGGCTCGATCGGTTGACCAAGCCGGTTACCGGAGAGTCTAAAACTTCGACGAAGGTGCCCCACTGCACCATGTTCTCGCCGCTGATCCAACGTCCCTCCAGTTTGGCGTGGTGCCAACGAGGATCCCAGCTATTGTTGTGGAGATCACATCTGTAACGTGTGTCTCGTCCTGCCACCCTTCCAAGACCGCCCCGTCATCTACAAACGCAGACAGTTAAGAACCAACAAAGACCAAGGCACATACCAAGCGCGGAGAAGACGGCGTACAGGCGTCATGAACCGGATGATCAAGCGTGTAGCTGAACCTGCTGGTGCCACCTCTGCATTGACGCCGCATTCTTTTAGACACGGCGGAGCCTAGTAAACAAACGACGACGGCCGACTAGCCTCCTTGCGGATCTTTGACCACGGTGCGTGGGATATGACGAAAACCAACAAAGCCGTTGCTTACATCACCAACACGGCACGCGAAGACAGGAAAGTGGTTCGTGTCTCGAGTGGATGGCGGACAGACGAGCTGCCCACGATTATTGATATCACGGCGCTGGATCAAAGCCAGTCGGGAGCGACTTGGGCGTCTGCAGGTGTTTCTGTTCAGTGCCTGTACTGGTCTAAAGGAACAACGGCTCAACGTAAACACCAAGGTCCTCAGCGTCCTCACTGCGTACCTATTCCGTTACTATCCGCAAATGAAGGATCTAGCGCCAATGTCCCCAATCATCACGCGCGTTGAAGATAGATTAGTTGCGGCTAATATTCCGCTCGCTGACATCGGTGGCTCTGAATCAAGAAGTGGTGCAACCCGCTCAAGAAAAAGAAGAGTAGCAGCACTCTTGCCCAGCAATGGATCATCTTCTCTCCGTCATTTCAACAGCTTATCACGTCGAACAAGGCACTTGCTGCGCGGTTGACTATCATCGAATCTGCGCTACTCAAACCTACTTAGGCGCAAGAACCTACTGAAGATGAGCAAGTACAAGTCACATCAGATCAAGAACCCAAACCCAAGCGTAGGAAAAAGCAAGCAACCGGCCTTTAGTCCCCGTGGTACGAATGGTACGCACGGGTACCACGCGGGTGGGACTCGAGAGATCGCCACAAGAAGTCCGAGTCTCGCCATGTCGCCGCCTTCATGAAGTTTTTTCTCGACGCAGGCTTCGTGCTCGATGCCAGGCAGAGGATTGTAAGGATCAAGTCCTCGACGCCGGTCGCCGCGCTGAAAACGCTACAAGTGAATTCTTAAAGTCGAGAGATATTAAGGCCAAGAGAGCCGGAAGCGTCTTGCGTGCGGTGCGACCTCTACACAAATCGGGGGCTCTTGACGAACGAATCGCTGCCTATAAATAACTTCTCGCAGTTGGACAGATCAAGGCCCAGCTTTTGCAGAAATCCAGGACAGGTTAGCCTTAGCTGGACAACCATGAATACTGGATGTGCAGTAAACGCGAAAGCTCTGACTGTGGAATACTGCCGAAATACCTCATCGTTGAGTGTAGCCGAAACTGCTAACAGCCGAGTATACCCGAAACGCCTTCGGCCGAATATAGCCAAAATTTAGAGAGGC